TTGTTTGAGTTATGTCGCATGGTTGGATTCTAAAGCCATCAAAAGAATCAACTTTGTGATTTACTGCTACAATTAATAATTGTTCCAGTAAATGCCCAAACCCTACAGAACTGGTGCCTTCAGAGAGCCGGTACATTTACATTTTGGCTATGGCAACATTACAACAGTAAAACACATTCAGCTGGACAGGATCTTTGCATCATGGACATCTGCCCTTACTGTTTTAAAATAGTCAAAAAGAGAGCTCTTAACCTCTGTATTGTTTCACCTGTGTTTCCAAGAAGTTTTCAATTGCCGCTGGTGACTGGCTTGTGTAAGGCCTGTGTCAATCATATGCAAATCAAGGAATTAAACTTAGATATAAGCATGTAGACAACCTACAGTAAAATCAATGTCACCTTAGCACAGTGTGTTTTATATTGCACAACAGTGTGATAAATTCTCTAATGTGGTTAATTAAAAATGCATAGTATGTCTAATTGGACTATACATAATTACTAATGACCCATTCTCAACAGTGCTATCTCTATGGGTATTATAGTAAAAACATATTCATATGCATTCTACTGATCTACAGTACCTAGTATTGGCACATTGCATGAGGCACCCAAAGCATTAATGATAAAATATCATGGTAATACCATTGTATAGCCCTTGTGGAAATTAAATAAACATCATCAAATTGCTGTCCTTGCATCATTTCAGATTCTCAGATCTCCTCTGCAGTGACAAATTGGGATTCCCATTTCCTAACACACGGTCAGTGATCTGCTTTCAAGTTGTTGGACTGGATGGGTGAAAAAACATTCACTCCTTTAGCTTTATTCATCCTGGCAACTCAGAACACCCATTTCTGTATTTTTGAGCAAGTCTACATAGTATTCAGGTTGAACACCTTGGAATTCAGTTCTAAAATCATACAGTCAACCTGCTTCTTTATTTTGACTTTGTCTGACAGTGCACTGTACTGTACTGTTTATTTTATGGTTTTGTAACAGACAATATAGTTCATTAACCCTGCAGTGCGAAAAATACAAAAGTGTTTACTCTACAGTATGTTTCTTCCAATTTTAGAGTCTCAGATATCTTCCATGCTCAACAGTTTATCTTCCCAGCTCCAAGCCCAAGGTCAGTGGTTTGATTCTGGATCAGGACAGACGATTTATTACAGACAGTACATTGTAACATATTCGGTTGTACAAGAGAGTCTCAACCTTGATTCTGCTGTTGGTTTATGAAGAGGTTGAAAAGTGAACTCACAATCTCTGGAAATGTACTCTTTTACCTGCACTTTCAAGATTAGCTGTAAAATCCTCATGTGACAGGCTGTTGTTTTTGCCATATGTTTACTGCAGGATTTTCTAAAACAATACACTACATGTTTATTGCAAGAAATTGTCAGATCAAATTCAGCAAAAACCTATTTGAATTAATCAAATTTTTACTACTAAAAAAGATTTGTAAAAACCATCAGGCTACAGCATAGCCAATAAGCATTAACCAATACAAGTCAACCAATAATATAATTGAAGATACAGATTCTGTTTTGTGAAGTGAAAGTAAAATTTAATTACCCCGTTGTTATTTTCAATGTCTCAAATGATGTTCAAGTTGAATTCCTTAAAATCCAAAATCATAAATGCTAACTAAAACAAAATTAGGTTAGTAATGGATATACTGTGCTGCTTCTTTTTTGTATTTTTCTGTACACTAAAGAACATGGAGGCTATGTTTGTTTGTGTTTTAGTGTCTGACATGTCATCTAGGCTGAACAATATATCTTCCCAGCTCCAAGCCCAAGGTCAGTGGTTTGATTTTAGACATTTTAAATGATTTTAGTCATTCAGCTGGACTGGATCATTGCATCATGGACATCTGCCCTTACTGTTTTAAACTGGTCAAATAGAAAATTCTCCACCCCTAGGAATGTATAGTTTTACCTGCATTTCCATGAAATTTTCAATTGCTGTAAAATCCTCAGGTGACAAACTTGTTAATGGCTTGTGTAAGTCATTTATAATGTAATTGGAAGGTCAAGGATTTAAATTAGTCTAAGACACAAGCATGTAAACAACCTAAAATCAAAGTCAAGTTACAGTAGCACAATGTGTTTTTATATTGAATCACTGTGGTTTAAATTCTCTTAGGTGGTTTTATAAAAATATACTATATGTCTTATTGGAGTATGTGACTAATATGTCTATACAGTTTGTGATATAGGTTGAATTGACCCATTCTGTGCTTTCTGTGCTATCTCTAAAAAACATATTTGAATGAATTACATTTTTACAGGGCTCTAGATGAATTCCTCAATAATGAATCATTTGGTGGGATCTCTTTGGCAGTTGTTGTCGTTTTGTATGCTGAAAATGTATTCATATGAGCTGTACTGAGCTACCAAGTGATGGCACATGGCAGGATGTATCCAAAGTAGCAACTAAAACTGCCACGATAATAACGGTGTATAGAAATTGTGGCAAAGCTGTAAACATGACAATATGTCAGACACTCAGATCTCCTCTGAAGTGACAAATTGGGATTCCCATTTCCTAACACAGAGTGATCTGCTTCCAGGTTGTTGGACTTGATGGGTGAAAAAGCATTCACTCTATTAGCTGTATTCATCCAGGCAACTCAGAACACCCATTTCTGTCTTTGTCTATAATTGTGTTTTCAGATTTTCAAACTCGGTTCAGGCTGAACACCTTGCAATACAGTACCAAAATCATAAGGTCAACTTTCTTTGTTATTTAAAATTTGGCAGACAATGCAAATAGTGTTTCTTTTATGGTTTCGTAGCAGGCGATAGAGATCATGACTCCTGTAATAAGAAAGATACAAAAGACTTTACTTGTGTTTTTTCCTTTTTTAGAGTCTCAGACATCATCCACGCTGAGCAGTTTATCTACCCAGCTCCAAGCTCAAGGTCAGTGGTTTGATTTTGGATCGGAATAGATGATTTATTCAGTATGTACTGTATGTATGATGAACATGAGTATGAGTATGAAAGATCCACTGATGGATACTGATGTGGGTTGGTACATTGCATGAGCACCCAAATTTAAAAAATACCTTGGTAATATCAGTGTATAACCATTGTGGCAATGCTCTAAACATCACCAAATGGCTGTTCTTGCATCATTTCAGATACTCAGATCTCATCTGCAGTGACAAATTGGGATTCCCGTTTCCTAAATCACGGTCAGTAATCCGCTTTCAGGTTGTTGCACTGATGGGAGAAAAAGCATTCATTCTTTTAGCTTTATTCATCCAGGCACCTCAGAACACCCATTTCTATCTTTTTTGAGTAATTTGTGTCACGCCCTCTGCAGCCAGAGGGCGCTGCTTCTCTGTCCTGTCCCTAGTTTCCAGTCTGCTGTCCTTCCTGTCCCTCTCTTTCCCTTGGGCTATATATTTCCGGGTCTTGCACTCTGTCCTCGCTCAGCATTGATGTTTGGATGTCCTGAGACCCGCCTAGCACAAGGGTGCCCCACGTCCGCTCCCTGAGGGCATAGGTTTCTATACGGCATTCCTGAACTCTTGGCACTAATGAGCCCGGGCCTTTTTCCCGTCTCGCCGCTACACATATGGGTCTTTTTCCGCTCTCTTGCTCCCCACGGTTAGTCCCTTTGGACGTCCATGACAATTTGCTTTTCAGAGTCTCGAATACTGTTCAGGTTGAACTCCTTACACTCCAGTTCCATCATACCATCAGCTTTCTTCTTTATGTAAACTTTGTCTGAAAATGCAAATGCTTTTTCTTTTATGGTTTTATAACAGGCAATAGATTTAATCAATGCTGCAATGAGAAAAATACAAAAGTTTACTTGTGTTTCTTCCATTTTAAGAGTCTCAGATATCATCCACACTGAACAGTTTATCTTCCCAGCTCCAAGCCCATGGACAGTATTTTGATTCTGGATTAGGATAGATGATAAACAGTATTATAATCAGTACTATAAAACACAGCTCTTGCTGTTTTAAAGAGGTTGAAAAGTGAAATCACAGCCTGTGTTTTAACTGCACTTCCAAGATAAGCTGTGAAATTCACATGTGACAGGCTAGTGTTTTTGCTCTATGTTTACTGCAGCATTTGCTAGAACAATAAACTACATTTTTATTGCAAGAAATTTTCAGGTTAAATTAATCAGATACACATGAATGAAATGTTCATGATATTAGAAATCAGGCTACAGAATACAGTGCCTTGCGAAAGTATTCAGCCCCCTTGAACTTTTCAACCTTTTGCCACATTTCAGGCTTCAAACATAAAGATATAAATTTTTTATTTTATGTAAAGAATCACCAATTGTGGGACACAATTGTGAAGTGGAACGAAATCTATTGGATTTTTGAAACTTTTTTAACTAATAAAAAAATGAAAAGTGGGGCGTGCAAAATTATTCGGCCCCTTTACTTTCAGTGCAGCAAACTCACTCCAGAAGTTCAGCGAGGATCTCTGAATGATCCAATGTTGTCCTAAATGACTGATGGTGATAAATAGAATCCACCTGTGTGTAATCAAGTCTCTGTATAAATGCACCTGCTCTGTGATAGTCTCAAGGTTCTGTTGAAAGCGCAGAGAGCATCATGAAGACCAAGGAACACACCAGGCAGGTCCGTAATACTGTTGTGGAGAAGATTAAAGCCAGATTTGGATACAAAAAGATTTCCCAAGCTTCAAACATCCCAAGGAGCACTGTGCAAGCGATCATCTTGAAATGGAAGGAGTATCAGACCACTGCAAATCTACCAAGACCTGGCCGTCCCTCTAAACTTTCAGCTCAGACAAGGAGAAGACTGATCAGAGATGCAGCCAAGAGGCCCATGATCACTCTGGATGAACTGCAGAGAACTACAGCTGAGGTGGGAGAGTCTGTCCATAGGACAACAATCAGTCTTACACTGCACAAATCTGGCCTTTATGGAAGAGTGGCAAGAAGAAAGCCATTTCTCAAAGATATCCATAAAAGGTCTCGTCTAAAGTTTGCCACAAGCCACCTGGGAGACACCCCAAACATGTGGAAGAAGGTGCTCTGGTCAGATGAAACCAAAATCGAACTTTTTGGCCACAATGCAAAACGATATGTTTGGCGTAAAAGCAACACAGCTCATCACCCTCAACACACCATCCCCACTGTCAAACATGGTGGTGGCAGCATCATGGTTTGGGCCTGCTTTTCTTCAGCAGGGACAGGGAAGATTTTTCTTTAAAATTGAGGGGAAGATGGATGCAGCCAAATACAGGACAATTCTGGATGAAAACCTGTTGGAGTCTGCAAAAGACCTGAAACTGGGACGGAGATTTATCTTCCAACAAGACAATGATCCCAAACATACAGCAAAATCTACAAAGGAATGGTTCACAAATAAACGTATCCAGGTGTTTGAATGGCCAAGTCAAAGTCCAGACCTGAATCCAATCGAGAATCTGTGGAAAGAGCTGAAAACTGCTGTTCACAAATGCTCTCCATCCAACCTCACTGAGCTCGAGCTGTTTTGCAAGGAAGAATGGGCAAGAATTTCAGTCTCTCGATGTGCAAAACTGATAGAGACATACCCCAAGCGACTTGCAGCTGTAATCGCAGCAAAAGGTGGCTCTACAAAGTATTAACGCAAGGGGGCCGAATAATTTTGCACGCCCCACTTTTCATTTTTTTATTAGTTAAAAAAGTTTCAAAAATCCAATAGATTTCGTTCCACTTCACAATTGTGTCCCACTTGTTGGTGATTCTTCACATAAAATAAAAAAATTATATCTTTATGTTTGAAGCCTGAAATGTGGCAAAAGGTTGAAAAGTTCAAGGGGGCCGAATACTTTCGCAAGGCACTGTAAACCAACAAGCCAACCAATAATGGTGTTCAAGATACAGTATCTGCTTTGTGAAGTAAAAATATAAACACAACATTATTATTTTCAGAGTCTCAATTGGTTGCAGGTTGAATACCATATAATAAATTAATATATAATATAATAAAAATAATTCCTAAATCATTATAGCAATGAACATACTGTATTGCTGCTTTTCTTGCCTTGTACTCTGCACTAGAGAACATGGAGGTGTTTATTTTTTAGAGTCTCAGATGTCATCCTACCTGAAGAATTTATCTTCCCAACTCCAAGCCCAAGGTCAGCGTTTTGAATCTTGATCAGGATCGTTGTATCATGGACATCTGTCCCTACTGCTTTAAAAGTGTCAAAAAGAGAATTATCAGCCTCTAGGAATGTACAGTTTAACCTGCTTTTCCAAAGAGTTTTCAATATGCTGTAAAATCCTACAGTGACAGGCTTGTTTAAGGCTTAAGTAAATAAATTAAAAATGAAATTAAAGAGGCAGGGTGTGGAATTAATCATAAACACATGCATGTAAACAACCTAAAATCAATGTCATCATAGCACCGTATGTATTACGCTGAACTCCATGTGATAAATTCTCTGAAGTAGTTTTCAAAAATAAACAGTATGTATTATTGTAGCATGTGACTGATTTGCCTATACTGTACATTCTGTGACACATTCGCCAGGTGAATTCATCAATAATAAACCATTTGAAACGGTGCCATCTCTTTGGAGATTTTTGTTGTGTATGCTGAAAAAGTATTCATATGAGTTGTACTAAGCTACCTCATTTAAGAATATTGCAGGATGTACAGTATCAAAAGCAGAAACTAAAGATCCCATTATAATATCAGTATATAACAATTGTGAAAATATGTACAGTATGTACAGTATGCTGAGAATGTATTCATATGAGCTGTACTGAGCTACCTAGCGTTGGCACATTACAAGATGTACTCAATGCAGAAACTAAAAACGCCATGATAACACCAGTGTTATGACCATGGCGGCAATACTGTAAACATCACCAAATGGCTGTCCTTGCGTCATTTCAGATACTCAGATCTCCTCTGCAGTGACAAATTGGGATTTAACAC